TCAAACACACCAAGTTCTAACACACTCAAACACACCGAGTTCTAACGCGCTCAAACACACCAAGTTCTAACACACTCAAACACACCAAGTTCTAACACACTCAAACACACCAAGTTCTAACACACTCAAACACGCCGAGTTCTAATGCGCTCAAATACGCCAAGTTCTAACGTGCTCAAACACACCGAGTTCTAACGCGCTCAAACACACTGCATATGACCTATATAAGAATAAATAGCAAGCTTAGCTGAGCAAGTGCTCAGCTGCTCCTGACCTGTGAGAACTCAAGCAGAAGCGGAGGAAAACCGCCTGTAAGCATGTCTTTAGGAGTATCTCTAGTGAACACTTTGCAACTGCTATTCCATGGACTATTGCTGAGTTCCATTTCAAACTCATGCTGACCATTTTTCATTATCTTTATCCCACTGTCTCATGATAGATTTTACGATGATGCAACCTGAAGTGATGAGTAGGGCTTAGCCCAGATGAAGCAGAGAAATGAGCCTTAATGTGGGTGTCAACCTGCAGCACAGAGTTAGGGACCCCCTGCCCCAGTGTCCTGCTGGGGAGGAGGCAGGAGCTGTATTCTCTAGTGGTGAAGAGAGAGTAGACCCTGGAGCTGTGCTCTTGTTAGAAACCAAAGCTCCTGTGTCCGCTGCAGAAGAGAGGCCCAACAGGCACTCAGGACAGATAACACACGCAAACATTCCCCACCCTCCCTCCCTCTCCCTTTCTCTCTCCTAAAAGAAATTACTTTTTTTATTTCACAGATAGAACACCAGGTGACAAGACATGGAATTTACTCTGTCTAAAAGTAGAAAAGTGCTATTTTCAAATTCAGCACAAGGTTTCATGTTCTCAGTCATGTTGAATGGGGTATTATAGTACCCTGAGACATTTCTGTGGCCACAGAAAGCCAACCCAACCATTTTCAGCTTGCACACTGTGGACCAGCACACTGTCCTTAGCTAGAAGAACCAGAGTCATGGCACTAATGGTATCTCTCACTACACAGGTCACCGTCTGGAAGATGGAACAGGTGCACACCCCTAAGTCTAGGCATGCACATGCTGAGATCAACTTGTGGGAGTCAGTTCTCTCCTTCCACCATGTGGCTTGGGGGTGGGGAGGATCAAACTCAGATCTCAGCACTCTGGAGGCAGAGTTAGGCAAATCCCTGGGTTCCAGCTCAGCCAGCACTTCACAGTGAGATACTGTCTCGCTCTCTGTATTTTTAAAAACTGGGAAAATTGCCCTCATTTGCTGAGTCTCCGTCCCTGTTCTGTGATTTTCTAAATGCTTGATTGATTAATCACAAAGAACTCGAAGGCCTTCTGCCTTCCTTCTGTTTTCAGTGGGTTTGGCCACAATCTTCACTGCTGCTTCTGCTGACTCTGGGTGAGCTCGCTTCCTCCCGCAGTCTAAGGCAGCAGCGAGCTCACTGGTTGGAGCTTCCCGCAGATTCTGCTGCAGTGTGCTTTTGCCTCTGTCTCCACCTGAGCCTTATCTCCCAGGGTGGTGGCACCGCTGCCTGACCGCTGTGTACAGTGCAGAAACAGCAAATGGGCAAATCACCAGAAAACAACGGCTGCTTTGGGGGGCCTTGCAGAACAGACTGGGCGACTGACATCAGCCATACGTCATCAGGCACACGGCTGTGAGCAGGCTCCTGCCAGCCTGTGACGGACCACCATCTGTACATACAGACTACTTCTGAGTCAGCGTCCCCACAGGATGCAATGTGGCCAGAGGCATCCAGCTTCCAGACCTGCCAGCTCCTAACATCACTACCTTGCCAAACACGGTAATCAGGAAAGCAGCTGAACTTGGATCTGGTAACACTGCTAGCCAGGAGGACAGCTGCTCACAAGTTGCCTGAAGACAAGGGCCCTTACGCTCATCCCTGGCAGGTGCTGGGCCCCTTTTACCCGGGGGGCTCCCCTGTGCCTTCCTCAGACACCAGCTGCCCTGATGACCCCAGCAGCTGGTGTCTGGGCAAGCTGATGGGTGCCTGCAGCAGCTAAGGTGTTTCTAGTGTTTCTAGGTAGGAGCTAAGAACACCATTTCTCATGTCAAGGCTTAACACACTTGCTTCTGGTAGCAGAGGGAGCCTTTGTGGAGTAGGGACTGCAGCACCCTGTGCGCGTGCGCTAATCCTAAAGGACACTGGGTGTACGCCCATTACTAGAAGATGCTGATTTTAAGGGCTGGTGAGATGGCTCAGCAGGAAAAGGAGCTTGCCACCACATTGATGGCAAGTTTGATCCCCAGGACCCGTATAGGAGAAGGAGGGCTGACTTCTGCAAGCTGTCCTCTGACCTCCCACCTGTATTCTGACATGTGTTCATACACACAAGATAATTAAATAAATGTAAACAATACTTATTCTAAATATAGGTTAAATTACATGCATAAGATCTTCCAATTATATATACATTATAAAAATATACATTGAATTAGCATCTGATAACACCCTAGTATTTTGTCTAATGCCATGTTATATTTCACCACATTATTAAATATGCTTTGAAAATCGTATTCAGTGGCATTAGAATTCTACCTTAAAACTAGAATTTCGGGCCAGAGAGATTGCTTCCTGGGGAAAAGCACTCACCACACAGGCTGGCAACATGATCTAGAGCCCTCAGAGTCTACATAAAAAGCCCGAAGCAGTGACCTCACATCTGCAAGGCCTCTGGTAAGATGGGAGAAGAGACCGAACTGCCAGGAAGTTCAGGGGTGAGCTAGCCTAGAGTACCAAGCACAGGTGAGCTAGCCTAGAGTACCAAGCACAGCAGAAGGGAGAGAGGCCCCGCCTCAGCAAAGCTCAGACATTCCCAAAAGTCGTCCTCTGATCCCCCCTCACACACACAAATAGAAAATTTAAAAATCAGATTTGATTTCTAAGTGAGCAATCTGTAAGTTAAGTTTTTTGATGTTAAAAATAATGTCATGATTTTATGTATTTACACAAATACCCCACACTTCAAATTATTTCTTATGTGATCTTGTTTCTGGAAGTGGGATTAAAGACAGGGATAATTTGAAAGCTTTTGACACATACCTATTTACATTTTAATTTACCAATTAAGAGCTCCAAAGTGAAAAGTAAAAACCCATGTTTATTGGGTTTTATTTAATTTAATTTCCTTTGTTATTTAAATGAGCTTGACATACTTAGTGAAGTTAACGGGAGGTGGGGGGGTGGAGTGGGGGCGTGGTTTTGTTTTTTCCTGTGTAGGAGCCAAGGCTGATGGAGCTACAACCCAGTGCAAACCTTGCACCTGACTCCTCTGACCAGCTCTCTTGAGTCTATTTCTGCTGGTTTGGACCACTTTCTGATCTCACTAAAGTGAAAGTTCTGCATCTCCCAAACCCACAGCTCATCATCATCCCTGGTGTAAATATGTAGATACGTTAATAGAAAAATCACAGTCAATTCTGACCGCGGGACCTGGCTCTGAGAGTCAACCTTTCCAACCATGCTATGAGTTGGACTATTAAGACTCTGTCCTCATGGACGCCACACAAACCCAACCGTACCTATGTGTACAGGGGAACACAGAATACAGAGCTTAAAAACCTTTCTATCAACTGGAATTCTTGGGCACGACCCACATCTCAGATTTCCTGTCCCTCCAACTTCACTCCCCAATTTCCTGTGTGCCCACTGCCCAGTCACCTCAGTGTCTAAAGACCTCCCCTAGGCAGAAGAGAAAGACTTACACAGACACTTGTCCTTGCAGACTCACAAGGCCCCTCCGAAAGGTTTTATAACTAGCAACAGTTTCTGGGAAAGAGGAGAGCTCCTTCAGTGGAGTTGTCCACATGTTGGGCAGAGCTATAGGAATCCAGCTCTCTTGGGCTGTCACCCATGCCAGCCTGAGCTGTAGAAACTCACTCACTGGTTCCCTGAGCTAGATTCGGGGGGAGTCACCTCTTTGGCCTGTCCTCGATGTCCTGTCTGGGGTAAACAGACACTTGTTCATGTCTCCCCAGGAAGTCACAAAACACAAAGCATTACTACTTGGAAGTAGGCTTTGAAGGATTGATGCCCTGTGGGTCATCCATGGCCAAGCAGCATTCTCTGGGGGAACTGCTGTCAGGATCCTTTGTGTCCCATCAGTAAATTTATTTTCTTTGTGTGTGTGTGTGTGTGTGTGTG